TGACCAAACCCAGCATTCAATCAACACTTATCACTAATCGACTGGGTACGATAGTGTTCCATATCAATTAGTGATAGCATTAAGCTTTGTGAAAACAGTTAAACCAAAATAACAATAATTGAGATAGCTGCAATTTCTGAATTCTGTTCCATTGATTCCCTTTAGGTTAAAACATGTCAATACATTAGTCAAGGGCTGTCACGAACAATTGACCCAGAAAGATATTAATCTAATTGCTACTTGTACCATTATTCATGACAATTATGGATCACCAAACTATGGATAGCAGTAGGAAATTCAATAGTAATTAATTTGTCAGACTAATTAACATTAACATCCAATGAGAATATGCACAAGAACCAATGAATACTTGAATTAAAAAGCAAGAACTTGAATTAAATACCGAACCTCACGATGACACAATCGAACCTCCCCCCTTGAACTAGAAAGAAAAAGCTTAGCTGCTCATGAATTTCAATCCCTCCATGCTCTACTTCTCAGTAGGCCGAACTGCTCTTCTTGATAGCTTGAGTTGCTTGATGATTTCTTGGATGCTTGAGTGATGCTAGAACTGGTCCGCCCCCCTATTTATATAGCTAAAGGAGAGGGCTGTTTTCCAACTCCTTTTAGGAGATCATCCTAAATTCAGGGAGTCCTGATCTGCTTTGAACTAATCATATCCTATCTCTTGTCTAATCCCCAACCTTCTTATCTTTATAGGATTACATTCAAAATTTAGATCTAATAAGACTCTTTCCCTCCTTGGAGGTTACATTCGAAGTAGAACTCTAGGCTCTTGAATTCGAGTTGGGCTGCTCTGATAACTTGGGCTGCTTCAAAGTTCTTTTGCGAGTTGGGCCTCAACTGTGAAATGGGCTTGGCTGTGAACTTGCTCCGACTTTGGGCCCGGTTTCGTATTTGATGCGGACCGAATCTGTAAAAACCAAAAACATAAAAGTTGTGAGCCTTCCTTTCATCTTTCTAATGCCTCTTGAATTGTCCAAATCGGAGTCTGGAATTGAGAGTTATGCACAGATTACTGAATGTTGCCGAAACTATGCAAAATCACCCGATTTTCCCTGTTTTCTTCCAATTGCCTTCTTGCTTGCCCTGAATCGAAATACAAGAGTAATGAGTCCAATTAAGTGCTAAAGTGATGTAAAAAGATGAATATTAGGGGACAAAAGTAGGGTTCCTTTTAGTCTCATCACTTGGTTAAATATTTACCTTATTTACTTAAACCTGGATTTAGGACTAGCTTAAAAAGGGAGTGGCCTCAGGTGAATCCTATATTCCCTAATCATATTTTTTACCAAATTCACAATAGTTGTCCTAGAACACTGTTTCAATTGATTCCCAAAAGAGTTGAGTTTTTTTTTTTTAAATTGATGCAGAAAAACACAACCTAAATTAAATTTTGAAACAACCTAAATTCTAACCTAAATCCTAAATCCCCTCCCTCCACACTTAAAACTTACATTGTCCCCAATGTAAGGTAAAATGCAAAGAAAGGGCAGAAACAACTAAACTATAAATGCAAAAATAAAAAACAAAAAGAAAAAGGAAAAACAAACTTCCCTATTTTTGATAATCATAAATCGGATCCTCTAACTCTCGTGGTTGCATCTTCCGGTGTTCTCCCCTTTCATCCACCATGGGTGGGTTTAACTCTGGAATCGTGGCCTGCAAAACAGAGGGTAACGGTCTCCCATTAGAAATCGACAACATAATATAAGGAGCATTACCTGACTGTTGTAACTCTAGAGAATCATTCAATGTTGCAATCGTTTCCTTCAAATCAGCATTCAACATTGGCCCCTTTTTCTCAAGATGCTTACTAATGGCAATCTCCAACCCATCCTTCCCATCAAGTTTAAAAGCTTCCTGTGCTAAAGAATCAATCATATCAACAGAATGAACAGAATTATCATTAGTAGGATATTTCATGGCATTATAAATATTAAACTTAACAATCTTACCATCAAATTCCATGGTGAGTGTGCCACTATAAACATCTTTCTTAGTTTTGGATGCTTTTAAGAATGGTCTTCCTATCAAAATAGGAGTGGTTTGATCACCATTATCCATATCAAGCACATAAAAATCAGCAGGAAAAACCAAATCATTTACTTTCACAAGAACATCCTTAACTACACCCTTAGGATAGGCATTAGATCTATCAGCCAATTGAATCACTACACCAGTCTTACTCAAAGGTCCAAGTTTCAAAGAAGCATATATAGAATATGGCATGACATTAATAGAAGCTCCTAAGTCTAACATGGCCTTCTCAATTCTAGTGTTACCTATCATGCAGGGGATAGTGAACATACCTGGATCTTCGCACTTTGTGGGGAGTTTTTTAATGACTGCAGAAACATTCTCCCCTACTCTCACCTTTTCACATCCTTTCAGTTTTTGTTTCTTCTTATGTGTACATAGTTCTTTCAGGAATTTAGCATAATGAGGTACTTGTTTAAGAGCATTAAAAAGGGGGGTATTTGTCTCGCATCTACGGAAAGTTTCATAAAATTCATTGAACTGCTCATCTTTCCTCGTTCCTACTAAAGCATTAGGAAAAGGAGGTACCGGTTTATAAGCAGAAAGAGGAGGAAACTTACGCTTAGGTACTTCATCATCATTGGGAACAATGTCTTTCTCCTTTCCTTGATTCGACACTGCGGGCTCTGTCCTTGCTGGTGTCTCAACCTCTTTACCACTTCTCAAAACGATTGCACTTACATTTTCTTTTGGATTCACAACCGTTTGAGAGGGTAATTTCCCCAAACTTTGTGCCTCTAACCAACTAATTGCCGTCGCCATTTGGCCCATCTGATTGTCCAAACGTTGGATACTGGCCCGTGTCTCTTGCTAAAATTGTTTCGTCTCTTGTTGAAATAACAAAGTGTTAGTGGCAAGAGATTTAACAATATCCTCTAAAGACATACCTGAATTAGAAGCTTGGGTCAACTGTTGTCTAGGGGGTTGCAGCTGATATGGCTGAAAAGTTTGGTGGTTTTGTGGATTCCCATAGCTAAGATTGGGGTGATCCCTCCATCCCGGATTATACGTGTTTGAAAAGGGATCATATTTCCTTTGCGGTTGCCCTAGAAAACCACCTGCCGCATTTACTTGCTCGACGGGCTCCGCTTGAAGAGTTGGGCACATATCAGTTGGATGCCCTACTGTCGAACATATCCCACAAGCCTTCACTATTTGCATGTTACCTACAACCATTTGACGGACAAGAGAGCTCAGACTTGCAATTTGTTGTTCTAGGGAAGAGATATTACATCATTAGCATGCTTTGCTAGAAGGTTGAGCCAATAGCTGAACTGTTGAGAGTTGGCCGCAATATTAGCAATCAGATTTCTCGCGGCCTCGGGGGTTTTATCCACTAAAGCCCCTCCACTAGCAGCATCGATCATGCTCCTATCAATAGGTTGATGTCCCTCATAAAAATATTGAATAAGTAGTTGTTCGCTGATTTGATGATGGGGACAGCTTGTACATAACTTCTTAAAGCGTTCCCAGTATTCATGTAGGAACTCCCCATTGTATTGCCTTATTCTATAGATTTCTTTTCTGATATTGGCCACCCTTGAAGCTGGGAAGTACTTTTCTAGGAAGAGCCTCTTCATCTCGTTCCATGTGGTAACACTCCCATAAGGTAGATAATAGAGCCAATCCTTAGCCGAATCCTTCAGAGAAAATGGGAAGGCTCTCAATTTGATTTGCTCTTCAGTTACCCCCATGGGTTTCATGCTTGTGCATACCACATGCAGCTCCTTCAAGTGCTTGTGAGGATCCTCACCTACAAGACCTTGAAAAATGGGTAAGAGATGTATCAATCCAGATTTTAATTCAAAATTAACATCAGCATCTAAAGCAGGAAAAGTTATGCATAAGGATTGCTGATTTAAATCCGGTGCAGCCAACTCTTTCAGGGTTCAATTTCCGGCCATGATGTCCTCTTCTGACAAATCAGATCCGCTAACAGATAGAGAATCAAAGGCTGGATCGTTCTCCTCGGAATGACTCCGAGCTTCCCTCCTTAACCTGCACAAAGTCCCTTCTATTTCCAGATCGAACTGCAAATCACCTTTCTTAGAGTATCGAGTTACAACCATAAATTGAGGAAAACCTAATAAACCCTAAACGACATACCATAAAACAAACAAAAATTAAAAAAATACAAATAAAAATCTAGAATGATTAAACAAATAAATAAATGAATAGAACAGAAAATAATCAAACAATCAAAACGATCTATAGAAAAAGGGAATTTTTTTTTCTTTTGAAAAATTTCGAGAACTAAACAATGATCACGAGAAGCACAAAACTGATTAGAATACTCCTCGACAATGGCACCAAAATTTGGCGTGCTGTCGTAGGCACCCAAAAATAATCCTCTACTTGTAAAGATGGAATGTAGTAGTGAGACTAGGGATCGTTCCCACAGAGAGTATCTAACCCAAATTATGTGCTACGTGAATCAAAAATGGAGGGGGGTGTATGTAACGAAAATCAGATTTAAAATAAGGAAAATCAGAATTAATAAAGAACGCAACTTAAATGAGAATTTAGGTAACTTCGAGTGCTGAAATTAATCAAGGAACAAATCTTGGTCTAGGCTAACATTCACCATCAGAATTACACTACTGCTCATCGATGCAAAGATAAATCAATTCAAACTTTGAATATTCATCGTAGGAATTAATTTCCTGCATCTTCCTACTATCAGTTAAACGGAAAACACGTGATCCTCTTAGCCCTTACTACTGAACAACCCCTAAACAAGCGTTAAAGATTTAATCCAGCAATAGCATTAAATATTAGAGATCGATGAAGCTAAACAACACAAGCACAAGTGGTTGCATTTAATTTAGTCGACTGTTCTTCCTAGGATCTAACAATTTCTAACGCAGCAAATCATTAAACCCTAGTTGCTTCACAGATTAGAGGGATCAAACAATTACGGATTTGATATCTAATCTAGCAATAGATTGTAATGAATAATAAACTAGTAGGCCTTCCTAGCAATCAAATGAAACAATCATAGATATAAACATAGAAGAACATTCGATATCCAAAGCATGAATTAAACAATAAAAACCAAATTAGATCTCACAGTTTGGTGGAATTCTGAGGCTTCTTTTTCCTTCGACCAAGTACAAGAGTTTAGCCACGCATGGTCATGGTGAAAAACTCCAAGAAAATCAGAGAATGAAGAAGAGGGGTGAAGAGAAGAGCAGAGAAGAGAAGAGAGGTTCGGTCGCTCCCAATCTGCCTCCTCTTCTCTCTAGGTTTTCTCCTCTTATCTATTTCCCCCAAGAAAAGCCTACAAAATCTCCTAAAATTCCTCTAGGTCAATCTACAAGTCTGGCTTATCTAGGAAGGACTCAAAAATAAGATAAAAAAACGTTCTTGTGTGAGTGGGAGAGTGATGAAATCGCGGATGAAAGCTTCAAGGCTAAGGAATGTCTTCAACACGTCACCAATGCAGTTGCAGATAATTCAGACCCGATTTTGATCTCGATACATTCCGAATATATCAAAACTAAAAACATGAAAGTTGTATAACTTTTCCTTATCTTTCTAACTCATCTTGAATCATCTCAATCGGAGTCCGGATGAGAGAGTTATGCTCCATCTACCACACGGCGTCGAAACTGTGTAAAATGACCCGATTAGCCTTGTTTCTCACCTAACGCCTCCTTTCGTGCCTTAAACCAAAATATGAGAATTATGAGTGCATTTGGGCATAAAATAAACGTAAAAGGCTAATTATTAAGGGAGAAAAATATGATATTTTTCGTTCTCATCATACTCCGCTTCATTGTTGGACGCAATGAACTCAAAGCGTAGCGCATACTCCAATTTCACATCGCTTGGCCCATACAGAACGATTCCAGCCCCGCTACCCAGCTGATTTGACGAGTCATCCACATGGAGGATCCAGGGCTCCTCAACCCAGGTCGGGTTCAGTCTAACTAGGAGAGAAGTTGCACTAATTGGAGCTTCGTCGTTGTGCTCGGGCTCGACCTACTCAGGGACCTCGGTGCTAAAAGTGCATTCCGCGACAAAGTCAGCTAAGGCTTGGGCCTTGATAGTAGTTCGCGGCTTGTACTGGATGTCGTACTCGTTGAGTTCGATGGCCCACTTTTTCAACCTACCAAAACTTCGTGCTTGAGCAAGACTTGCCTCAGAGGCTTATTGGTGAGGACGACGATTGTATGAGCTTGGAAGTACGATTGAAGTCTCCGAGCTACAACAACTAGTGCGTACGCCAACTTTTCGATCTCTGGATACCTCGTCTTTGCTTCCTGCAACACTTTTCTAACATAATAGATGGGTCATTGGACCCGATCTACTTCTTTTATCAGTACTGAGCTGACTACCTCATCACTCGCGGAGAGGTACAACTCCAAAATTTCTCCCTCCTCGGGTCGGGTTAACATTGGGATGCTAGCAAGGTACCTTTTGAGCTCATCAAAAGCGAGTTGACATTCTTCGGTCCATTCGAAGTCCTTGCTTCATTTAATTGCCTTGATAAAAGGCAGGCAGCGATCTGTCGACTTAGACATGAAGCGGCTCTGAGCGGTTATGCGGCCGTTCAACCTCTGAACCTCCTTCAATTTCCGGGGTGGTCTCATATCTAAGATGGCCTTAATTTTATCAGGGTTGTCCTCAATGCCACGTCGGTTGACGATGTAACCTAAGAATTTACCCGAGGTGACACCGAAAGAGCACTTGTTCGGGTTTAATTTCATGTTAAACTGGCGCAAAATTTCAAAAACAGAATGTAGATCTTTTATTAAATCATGTGAAAACTGAGTTTTGACGACCATGTCGTCTACATAACATTCTACTTTTTTGCCGATCAGTGGCTCAAACAATCAGTTTACAAGTCTTTGAAAAGTAGCCCCTCCATTTTTCAGCCCAAAGGGCATGACCTTGTAACAGTACAGGCCGAGCTCAGTTTTGAAGGATGTTTTTTCCTCATCGGCAGGGTCCATTCTGATCTGATTGTAGCCCGAGTAAGCATCTAAGAAGCTCAGCAACTCATGACCTGAGGTCGCATCCACCAAACAATCTATCTTGGGAAGTGGGAAGCAGTCCTTCGGGCAAGCTCGATTCAGGTCGGTATAATCGACGCGCATGCACTATTTACCATTGGCCTTTTTTACCAGAATGGGGTTGGCTACCCAGCTCGGGTAATGAACCTCCCTGATGAAATCGGCTACGAGGAGCTTCTCAACCTCCTCATCGATTGCTCTCCAATGCTCTGGGGCTAGGTTGCATTTCTTCTATCTAATGGGCCTAACTACAGGATTAGTGTTCAGTTTGTAAGTAATGACTTCGGGGTCTATGCCGGGCATCTCTGCCGTGGACCATGCAAAAACATCTAAATTTTTAAGTAGAAAACTTACCAGCTGAGATCGTAGAGGCTCCTCAATTGAAGCGCCGATCTGGAGAGTCTGAGCTGGGTCGTCTTTCGAAGTAAGTACAACGACCGTCTCTTCTATGGGCATAGCTCACTCTTCATGTTGCTCCGTAGGTCGCTCCAACTCAAGGTCGTCGGCCACCTTGGCTTTCCCTTTTAGGGCGGCGACGTAGCATTTGTGAGACTCGAGCTGGTCACCCCACACTACCCCTACTCCGAAGTCCATTGGGAACTTCATAGCCAAGTAATAGGTGGACACCACTGCGCGTAAGGCATGGGTGATTGGCCGACCTATTATGGCATTGTACGGGGAGGGAGTCGCGACTACTAGAAAAGGGTGGTTGAATCTCCCAATACTAGGGCATGTGCCAACCTCCACAGGTACTGTAACTCTCCCCAGGGGCTTGACTTCCTCTTTGCTGAAGCCCACCAAGGGAGTGTTTGTGGGCTTGAGGTAGCTTTCCCGAAGCTGAAGTTTTTCGAATGCGGTCTTGAAGAGTATATCCGCCGAACTGCCAGAGTCGACAAGGATGCGTCTTACCTCGAAATCATTGATTCTCATTTTTACAATGAGCGCGTCATCGTGGGGGTACTGGACTCCGTGTGCGTCATCTTCAGTGAAGAAAATAGGTTCCTTTACCCTTGGCCATTTCGGGGGATTCCTCTCTTCTCTCTCGATCTCGCGAGCCGAGGTCCTTGCTACGGGTGAGGTGCAGCCCGTGAAGATCGATCCGCCGGTGATCATTTGGATGGTTCCCCGAACTGGCCTCTCTTCGGGTGGCTGCCTCTGCGGCTGCTCATTCTGCCTGTTGCTAGGCTCGAGTGCATCTCTACTTTGCTCCCCCTGTCGTCCTGTTTTATTATCACTTTGTACAAAATTTCTCAAATACCCACGATGGATGAGTTCTTCTATCTCATCGCAGAGGTTTTTACAATTTTCGGTGCTATGACCGTGATCTCTATGAAAATGACAATACAAATTTTTATTCCTAGTATTTGGGTCTCCTCTCATCCGAGGTGGCAACTTCACATAAGACACATCCTTGATCACCATAAGGATTTCTGCTCGCTTCGCGTTCAAGGGCGTGTAGTTCATCTTTTCAACTAGAGGAGCTCGGAAAGACTGGTCTGGCTTTCCTCCCCGAGCTGGTTCTTTCTTCCTCTTACTATCCCCGTTGGTCGAGGTCTCACCTTCTCATTTCCTCTTCTCCGGCGGGTTCTCATTCTTTTGGTTCATCTCCTCCTCTATTCCATTGAACTGGTCTGCGAGCTTGAGGAATTCAATTACGTCCTTGGTCTTGTTGGCAACCACATGCCACTTGAACTCTTTGTGCATTATGCCTCTTTTGGCTGTTGTGAGCCTCACTGTGGGGTCTAGATCAGGTATTTGCAGACAGGCATCATTGAACCTCTTGATGTAGCTGCGGATAGATTCCCCCTCCCTTTGGACTATGCCGAGAAGGCTTTCTTGGGACCTCAGACACCTCTTGCTGGTGATGAAGTGTGAGGTGAAGATTTGCACGAATTGCACCCAACTCCTAATTGTCCCGGGCGCGAGGTTTCTATACCATGTGCGAGCTACCCCCTTAAACGTAGTAGAGAAAGCTATGCACATGCAAGACTCACCTACTCCGGCTAAGTGCATCTGTGACTGAAAAGAATCTACATGGTCATTCAGATCGAATGATCCATCATATTTGTCCAAAGGGGATACCTTGAAGTCTTTTGGCATTGGGATGGCTAGGAGCTCGGGAGACAAGGGAGATGGCACAGAGAGGAGGGGAGTGGCTTTCACTGCTCCCGAGCTCGCTTCTTCTTTCCCTTTGAGTGGTGGCAGTTCAAGCAAATTCTGTGTTGTAGCTCGCCAAGCTCTACGGCGTCTCTGTTGCTTCTTGGTCGGCTCCGCATTGGTACTACTGGCCTCGGTGTTGTCAGGCACAGTTTTCGCGGGGAGTGGCTCGGACTGTTGGCAATGGCTACGGTCTGCGGCCAGGACCCCGAACCAGTTCTCTATGAATGGGATCTCGAACTATGAAAGCCGAGGTGAGGCAGGTCTGGCAAGCTGAGAATCCCCCGATCTGTTCACATGCTGTGAGATGGGGGGAGTAGCCCATCTCTCTCTTCCACGGGATGAAACCCAACTCCCAAGAGGGTTCTGAATTCGAGAGGTCTCTCCCCGATGAAGGGGGTGTTCATTCTGACGGCGAGGCTTAGCTTGTTGTGTGGCTGGATACTGAGGTGGAACCGGTTGCTGGTTCTAAGGCAATGGTGGAAACTGCTGTTGGTACTAATGCTGATAAACCTGGTGTAGCACTTGTTGCTGATACAGTTGGAATTGCTAGACCTATTGCATTTGAGCTTGCATGGCTCGCATGTAGTGTACCAGGTCTTCAAGTTGGTTTTGTCCTGTCACTTGGGGAACAACAGATGGTTCGGTGAAGGTTGCACCCGCCATGGAAGGGAGTGGAGCGTTCACAGGTGCCATGATCTAGGGCACGTTCAGAGTAGGAACTCCATCCACGGAGAGAGGTAGGGTGACCTGACCAACGCACACCGTCGGGATCTAAGGTTGCTCCACAGAGGCATTCATGTCTGTACTGAGTCCGGCGTTGCTGGAGGAAGCCATGGAAACTGAACTTGGAAGATTTGGTGGAAGAAGGCTTTTTGAAGCGTTCCCACAGACGATGCCAATTGATGGTGCGCGACCTGGTCACTCCTAGCTGGAAGTGGCTATGCTCCTAGCTAGCGATGGATAGGAGGTACCTGTGAGGAAGAAGATGAAGGATCCCGGAGAGCAAAAGAGAGAGTTGCAGAGAAATTAGAGCTAGAGTGATGATCACGCAATACCTTCGCCCCTAGGGGTCGGGGTCTTTATATTCTGGTATTTTGACTTGTCAGGTGTAACCGCCTCCAAATCTCTACTGCTGCGATCTGCTGTCAAATAACGGCTTAGAGTGGCTGGCCTTTATTTGTCAAAGCTGAGCTGTCAGGCAAAGGTGGTCGCTGCAGAGTACGGTCTTGACAGCCTCTAGGGTTGGCAGGCATGATGCCGCCAGATGAGAGACGTGGGTGCAGTCTCCAGGTTTGGTAGGTACGGTTTGAAGGGATGAGAGATCCATCATATGGATGGCCGAACCCTGTAGGTAGGTTGGGCGAAATTTCAAAAATTTCCTCTCCTCTCATCTAGAAATCACATTCCCTGTTTTAGAAAATCTGCATTTTCAAGGATCAATCTTGAACCATAAACCGAACAAAATCTTAAACCAGAAGCAGGAGAGGGATATACCTGATACGGAAAAATAGTATCTCCCAATGGAGGTGTTCACGCCCAAGGAAGGAACCAAAAACTGCTCCCACTGAAGATGACACAATGTAGGATGGAGCAGAATCAACAATGTTCGTCCAACGAACCGAACCCTTCACAAGAATTCGCTGGAGGCTATGAGCACAAGTTTAGATCAGCCTTTCTCCAAAGGAAGATATAAAGATCCAATCTTGATCGTTTCTGCTTGAAAGAGGAGATCGAACTGGCAGTTTGGACGACGACAGAAAGGAGGCAGCAGGGAGAAAATAGCGCAGTGGTGCTATGTTCTCTCTTCTATATCTCTTGCTCTGAAAATGAGAATGTGATCTTCTAATAGGCTGCCGCCCCTTCCTTCTTTTATAACCTTGAAGGGATCAGCTCCTAATCCCATTAGGAGTTGCTGATCCAAATCATATTTGGATCTGAGTTCCCTTTAAGAGATAAGGATAGACCCTTATCTTATCTGTAGATTAGATCAGCCCTCTCCTAATCTTATAAGGAGGTTTCCAGATCTGAATCTGTATTAAGATTTGGACTCTCTGAGTCGATAGGGTAAGACCCTATCCTATCTGCTAATCTAATCTCAGATTCGCCCCTTTATTTAACTGATCAAATCATCCCAGTTCGAAATGGGCTTTAGGCTCAATAAGTATATGTGCTCACTTAGCCTTCCAAACTGCTGCCCAGTTGGGCTTCCTTGTATAGCGTGGGACCCAAGCATTGATCTACACATCAGCCACATGGGTTCGGCCCAGCCTTTGTTACAAGGCCTAGCCGAATTCACTAGAAAGCCCAGTGAACCCCTTGAGCCCATCACATGGA